ACCCCTTCCCATCACACAATCAAATTAGATCTTTTCCACCTAGGAGCTTTTAACATCCATACTGTGTCAAATTGGCAAACGGGCAATGCTCGTTGAAACGTTGTACTCCCTTTAAATTGATGCATGATAAAATGATAATAATAGCTCAGCTGTAATGCCCTTCCAATGCCTCGCTTCCATGTCACCCGAAGGAAGCACGAGGGCTGGTATACTGCCAAGTTGCCCATCCCTAGACAGGAAGTCAAGAGGCAGAGGTCGGGTTCAAACAACGGTCCTTCTGGTTAGTGAATCTGTGCTCTAACCACTGCCATCTGACCTCAAAATTAATGTATCCTGTTTCCCAAACTAATACAGGGCCGAAGCATTGTTATGCACTCAGAACGTCAAGGACGGACTCGGGTCCTTTACATTTCTCTCTCCGCGTGTTCGGCGGTCCAGAAGCGATGACTCTTGGAATATATGGCGTAGGGGTTGCACTCTGCCCCAGAGCTGAACCCGCTTTGCTGAATTGGATCCCAGTGAACAGTCGTTTTTGGGCCTTCTGGTTATACAGCTCAATCAAGCCCAACGTCTCGGCATGAAAAGCGGTGCCTGTTTATAGTGTCGCCTCATGCCCCAACGGACTGCAGTTCTGACGCTAAGAAGGATACTTTCTGTCAATAGTTATCTGGGCTCATCCGTCAACAAAGAAGCACTGACATTGTGATACTTTTGGGAGATATGAATGTTCAAGTCGGTTGTCTGAGCTCACATTTGGGCGGCCAATTTGGAGTCGTTGCTCGTCACACAGACAACCGAGAGCGACCTCTACAATTGTGTGCTCATCATCAACCGTTCCTGGCTAGCACGAACTTTCAGCATAAACGTCCGCATCACGTAACCTGGCGGCCACCACCAGTTGGATCACGTGGCCATCAACCACCGATGGGGAGCTACAATTCAAGAATGCCGTTCCTTCTTGGGCACACAACTTAGTTCCAACCACGTCATGGTGCGTGCACGCCCGACAGTCCGTTTCACCTCAGCCCCCCCCCCCCCCCCCACAAGTCAGCAAGAAGCATGCCAATCTCACATCGAAAAAACTACCACAGCTCAACAGTAGGGATCTAAGCTAGCCCAACAACTCTCCGCAGTAAACCAGTCCTGTACTGGTAGTGAGCATGTGGATGAAGAGTGAAAAAATGTGAGAGGAGCTATGCAAACGGTGTTCAGTGCTGTCTATCCTACTTTTCCAATTCGACCATAAGACCAACGGATGTCGTCGAAATCGCTATCCATGATTGATGCCAAGAACTCCATACCAGCAAGCAACGAGTACGACGGCGTACGCAAATCGCTCATACGCCAAATAGTGAGCAGCCTAAGGAAAGACCGAAAACTGTGGTAGACGCCGAAAGCTGGGAAGATTGAGAGTGCTCTTGCTACTAGAAACAGCCGTGGCCTATATCAACTGATATGATCGACTGGCTCTAGGAGAGCAGCGGTCGGTGAACCGGTAAGTGAAAAAGGCGGCTCATTAATTCCCTCGTGAAAATGCCGAATGGAATAATTGGCCTTACACTTCAAAGAACAGTTTAGCTGGCTTCCCGCCTCTGGAGAAAGTGTGTACGAGCGAACGGAATGTAAACCTTAATCGTCCGTCGGATCTGGCAAAGCTTTTTGGTGCTATATGAAACGATGAGGTGCCTACAGAATACGGCATGTCGACAGCTATTCCTACCTGTAAAAAGGTTTCGCGGACGCTGTGTGAAAATCACCATGGCATCAGCGTGGTAGCCATGACATCGAAGGTACTCTCTGGTCTTATCCTTCGAAAGTTGGCTAAACACAGGGAAAGAAAGATACGTGAAAAACAAGCTGGATCCCGTCCTGCATCGATCACATCTTCACTCTGACAGATTTTGGAACAGTGACACCGCCAACAATGGTTGTCTTCCTCAACTTGATAGTTGCCTTTGACTTTGTGGACCGTCAGGCTCTATGACAGTATCTATGGCACAAAAGTGCCCCCCATTGATTCTTGACCCCCTTAAGGCGCTGTACGCCAACCCTCGCGGACGTGAGAGGTTCTACACCACATCAAATGGTGTCAGACAAGACTGTCCTCTTTTACCTTTCCTCTTCAACTTTGTCATTGATACGATATTGCAAGACTCACTATCAGCCCCTAATACCTGTGGGATCGGAGTGCTCCTAGGGCGTCTGCTCAGATATATCGAGTTCGCAGACGACATTGCTCTTTTTTGATCTGACGTCGTGGTAATGCAAACAATGTTATATAATCTAAGTAATTCTGCTTACCGGTTTGGCTTCAAAGTGTAAAGGGCTACTGCAAGTTCGGGTTGGCTTGAACCCCAGCCTCATGCTTGCGGATGAGTCGATTGAGGTAATAGATAAGTTTGTCTACCTGGGCATCTGTATCAGTCCTGGTGGTTTAGCAAAAGATGATATTTCCATTCGGATTGGAAAGGCCAGAGAAGCTTTTGTGAACCTGCGCCACTTGTGCGGAGCATCAGCTTATCCGTCAACGGTCGAGTTTCCAATGCTGCGGTGCGCTTCTTATTACTATACGGGTCAGAAATCTGACCGCTGTTCGCCAAGGACGTCAAAAGACTTTCAATGTTTGATCTTCGATGTCTTCGGAGCATTTCCCGAGTCTGGTGGGAACACTGGATCAGCAATACAGGAGTTCGCGAATGGTATTCGAAAGAAATATTTCACCCTCGATAGATGAACTGGTCACACTGCATCGGTTGCCTTGGCTTGGCCACGTGCTGCGTATGCCAGTCGACCGAATTCCTCGGAGGACTCTTCTCGCACAACCACGTGAAGGGTGAATGAGAGTCAGAGGTGGTCAAACAATGACTTGGCAGCGAAGTATAAAAACCATTACCAACGAACTCAGCTCCGCTGGTCAGTACCGTCTTCCTGGATGGGGACCCCGAGACGGGCCACATCAATGGTTAGAGACATTGTCAGAAATGTTCCAGTCGCGATCTCAATGGCGCTCATGCATCCAAGTTATTGCCTTTAAAGCATGGCTCCCTTCCCATTCCCTTTACTTGAAAGTTCACAGACAAAACTGTATTTACCTGTATTATCTGTATTACCTGTATTTATCAGCTCCCGTCTCCAATGCGCAGCTACCTACTTCACCTCCCTAAATCACCAGTGGGAAAAATTGTAGCAGCCACAGCCACTGTTCGAGAAGCACGTGGTTCCTACTGCTGGTAATAATAATGATGATGACGGTGCGGGGCGAATTCTCTCCTCCACAAATGCGATCCTCACCAGCATCACCTGTCGTTAGGTCATGAATTAACGATGCATGGACATCGACTACCTCCACTAGTTATGTGCACAAACAAAAAATAAAATTAACGAAAATCCAAAAAGTCAGCGATCTAAATGCTGCTGCGACAGACCGTGCAAGGGTCGACATCACCCTGACTCACCACGCGGAACAGTCCTTGACGGTCAATCAGGCGACCGTTAGTCCGTTTGCCGAGCATGGCGATTAGCTTGAAGACGTTCCGTCATCAACGGAGATGTCAATGCGCATTGCATTACTTCTGGAATAACAAACCGTCTGTCCACGTGGTTTGCTCCAGCAGCAGCGTCCCATCCAAATATCCGAATTGATCGCAATACTGGGAGTTGTATTGGACACTTTCTTGTTCCTTCAACCAACTTCGCTTGGTTTGTGTAGCAAATCTGCACTCGCTAGATCATGCGTCTCGAACCCTCAGACAGACAACATGCTTTAATGGAAAGCGCGTCCAGCGTGCACACAAGAACAGTTTTTTGTCCAGTTTTTTGCATAGTACGAACGTTAAAAACCGTCAGACGCACTGAGCGTCGGGGGTTGAAGGATGGTTTCGGAGTGCCTACGGCCGTGGCGGCCTAGTCAACGGTAGAGACTGTAGTCAGCTGCAGTGACGGGCGAATAGCTTTGCCAGTTCTTACCAATTGGCCTATGGAGATGTCGCTAGAAATTGGATGAGGATAGGGAGATGAGCGATTACGTGAAAGAATAGGGGAGGCATAAGCAGTAACCTGTTTTTGCTTGCCTACCCTGCTGTATACGACAAGTAAGACGACCCGGCTGATGACACCGCGCGACGGTCGATGTGGCATGAGAAGTACTCTTAGTTGTAGGTGTCATGGTTGTACTTAGGCTGGGATACTGCCAGAACACACATAAACAGGAGAACGATTGGAGTCCTCAACCAAAGCCTTCGACTGAAACTCTTGATCGCAAAGCGGTTGTCGTTTTTAAAGGGAACGTCATCACACATGCTCAGACCTCTAACCACTGACCAAAGTGACTGAAGAAACTGCGAGTCTCGCACGGACATACCTCAGTATAGATCAATGGGCACGAAGGCACGCAAATCACCACACAACTGTAAGGTCCAGTATGTTCGTGACTGGGGTCCCTAGTCAGCATTTGTCTGGTGTCATCACCTTTATCTAAGGTAAAAGACTGTCCCAAACAACGGGTAAATCAGTAGCAGTGCTTATTCTCAACAAAGAGGCCCGCCAGTTGTAAGGGGACTGCTGGCGTCCTTCGCACTCACAAATCTACGAAAGGATAAAACGATCGTAATACTACCAGCGGACAAAGGACGGATCACGGTGATAATGGACAAGCCAGATTATACTGAAAAGGCCAAACAACTGCTAAGTGACACCACGACCTACAAAGAATAGTGTTCGATAAGGCTGACTACCCGCTTTCTGTACTCCTATTCAATTTCGTGGTTGACGAGATAACTCGATGAACTCCAAGTCTTCGAAACTCTGATACTCGAGCTGTTGGTGACGGAAACGGTTTTTGAATAAAGGGGGATGGTTTCCGAAACCCCGGTGTCCAAATTGTTACTGGCGAGAGCCTTGTCGACCTGGAGTACGCAGATGACATCGCCCTCATCTTTGAAGACCAAAGCGAAGCACAAGCTTTGTTGAATAAACTGACCGCCATCATACCGTCTTTTGGCATGCGCCTTGCACCTTCAAAGTGCAAAGTCCTGCTTCAGAACGTGCCATCTGTGAACATATCCCTTACAATTGCTCGGGCCGCGTTTGCTAACTTGAGACACCTATGGCGTCAGAATGGTTTATCCCTGAATCTGAAGGGACGTGTGTATCAAGCTACAGTGCGGGCTGTTTTGTTGTATGGCTGTGAGACTTGGCCTATTCGAGCAGCGGAACCGAGACGTCTTCAGGTGTTCGACAATCGTTGTCTCAGAACCATAGCTCGTGTGGGTTGGTGTCGGCGAATCCGTAATGAGGCAGTTAGAAAGCGCGTTTTCGGTTGTGTAACGAGTACTTCCATTGAAGAATGTGTCTAGCACCAGAAGCTGCGTTGGTTGGGACATGT